CTGCACCCGAAGGTGCTGAACCCGAAGGTTCTCGGCCCGAAGGCCTGAACCCGAAGGTGCTGAAACCGAAGGTTCACTCGGCCCGCCGACATGCACGACCACCCGACGGCGCTGAACTTGATGCCAGGTTCTCGGCCCGCAGGCCTGCACCAAGGGCCCTGTTCTCGGCCCGCAGGCATGCGCGCGAAGCTGTGCTGAACTTGAACTCGGGCCTGCAGGCCTGCGCCCGCAGTGCTCAGCCAGCCAGGGGGTCCAGGCCCAGGCCTGTTTTTAATGTCTGACTTTAACATTGCCTGCCGGGGCCTGCAGGCCTGTGCCCGCACAATAAGTGACGAGGACGAGCTGATGACGAGGAGTCTCTGAGCCAACTTCAGCAGTCATATGATGAAGACACAATTTATTATATACGAAGAACCCTTCTCTGAATCGCCGCAGAAGCCACAAACTAACTTGAAAAACTCAGAGTCAAAGCAGCAAACTGCTTCTGCTGGGCTGGCCAGTCTGAACCAACCACAGAGCAACCAGGCAACGTAATAATGCTACAACATCAGTGGCAACATACCCTGACAGAGCACAACAGTGCAACCATGCAACAACAAAACGTCGCCCAGGAAGGATGGAAACTGGTGAATGGGACTATATATAGATGGCATGTCTTCTGTCTTTCATCGAAGTCAGCCGTCGTGGTATGACTTGGTTGGTGAAGTACTGGTTCTGAAAAGGCTCGTAGATGGTCATGGAGTGCCAAAGATTGGCTTGAGAGCTTTTGACCCTGTGGAAATGACTGACTCATCCTGTTTGTTCCATCCATGGTATCCATTGAACAATCAAGTCTTATCCCTGGGCATGCGGTCCGCATACTTCATCGTTCAAGAACATCGTGCTGGATAGCAAATGAGGGAATCAGCTCCAAATATGTCTTTGGATCCAGCCGTCCTCATTTCCTACAAAGCACGAGGTCACCTGAATGGTCACCTGAAACCACTCAATGCCGGTCCTTCATCTCGATCAACTGCAGCGACCAGCGGACGGTTCCGTGGAACTTATTATCGCCCTCCCCGGAGAACATGTTCCTCTGTCTTTTCCAGGCGTGTCCTGTTTGTTTCCAGGGTCAAGCTCAGCTTGCACGCGGCCACGGCTGAGACACGACCTATGGCAAATGCTAATGGAAACAAAACATGGTAAAGCATGCTAAAGCTTGCAAGATGGTTGGAATGATCATCTTGGTCTTCCAGCAACGAGCCATCTCACAGCCACTGCATCTGATCGCGGACTGCACTGCTGTCACCGCCCCTTTCGGGATCACCCCAGGTCACAAGGGACCCGTCAGCCAATATCGCTGCAAAGGCCGCAGAAGAAGCATAGACTTGCTTGACATCCTTCCTCAAAACCAGCGAACATATCCAAACGTCAAATCTCAAAACCAGCGAGTCACGAGCCTTTAATTTGTCTAAGTTGAGCCAAGGTGTCGAAGGCCAACGTGTCGAAGCCATTCATCTATCATCTATCAAAAAGATCTGGACGACATCCAATTGCACTCAAGACTGAAATGGTCACAAGTGCTTGGGGTGGTTTCTGGGGAAGCAGGCAGGATCATGGGTGGAAGCCCACAACAATGGGACTTGTCGAGAAGCTTATAGTGGTGTAGACTCCGACAAACATGCCCTAGGGATCCAGTCGTACCTTCACAGAAGGTATACTTGGACCCTCCAAACCTGCATAACAGCGTCTCCAATCACCTTCTGACAAGGTACTTGGATCCCTACGGAAGTGGACACCACCCTGTTTGCGACTTCGGAACATCGCCATCAAAGGCGATAAGAAGACATGCACCTCTCACATCCTCTGAAAGTGTTCGTCGGGTCATTCCAACATCACTCTTGAGCAAAATTTGGTCACATGGATTTCAATTGCCACGTGTGTCCACCAGCAGTTCCAGGTCGGATTGGCTTGCGTCTTTCCACATCCAGTGACATAGTTTTTGGAATGGGCACACCTAACCGTTCTTCCTCCATTCGGAAAAACAACAGCACCCAAGACTCCATGGAACGTCCCATCCAGTGAGTGGAGAGTGAGTACAGCACCATGGGCTTCAGCTGATCCTCTGTTCCCTTACACCCGAAGTGCCAGAACACCAGACTGATCCCATTTGGCCTCCAGTCGTACCGAACCGCTTCGGTTCGGTGGGACTGGGGGGCCCGGGTGCCAGGAGGGTCCAGTCATACCGAACCTGAGGAGGTACGACTGGAGGTGTAGGGTATATTTGACCTGAGCTTCAGCTGATCTTGCACCTCCCGACTGTCACCACCATAGTGTGGATCGCCCCACGTGACCAATCGGCCACCATCGGCCAACAGGGCCACAAAGGCGCGGTCGGAAGAGAAGACCTGGCGGGGTGGGTGGCACCAAACACCGAAGACGGCTACCGAAGACAATGAGTGGTTGCGACGTTTCAAGTCACGAAAGCAACTGGGTGGTCCATGGGTTCAATCATCCCAAGACATCCCAAGTTTATGTGAAACTGAAATTATCAAAAAGATCTGAGCACCACCACCCAGCTTGCTTAAAGCACCTATCGTGTCGGTCTTTGGTTTTGTTGCTACTCGCTCGCTACATGGTGAAGTGGTTGGACTCCAGGTTTGGACCAAACCTCCCGCACCTGTTGCACATTCCTCAGCTGATCTTGCACCCCGTCACTGTCGCCACCACTTTCAGGGTCTCCCCACGTGACGAGGCTTCCATCCGCCAGGAGGGCCGCAAAGGCATAGACCGTGGCATAGATCTATATATATGGAGTTGTAGGTGCTGTAGCCCTTGAATTGCTATCAGCACACAAAGTCGTGCAACATCGACACGCCGATGCCAGAAAGGCAAAGCGTAAGGTATGCTGACCCACGTAGTCAATGGGCCGCGAAGGATAAGGTGGACCCAACACAAAGTCAGGCAAGACTACCACAGAACTGCCTGGCGGTGATCGGTGGAGAGACCACAGAACACCCGACCCGGATCACTTGCCGATGCCAAGCCGCGGCCAAGACGGCAAAGCACCATGCAGGTCGGACAGACGTGCCGAAGTTCAAGTCAGTGGAGAAGCCATCCACGAACAAAATGTCCATGACGTGAAACGTATGCAAAGGCAGCGGGATCCTCACGATCCAACCAGTCCAGCTCCACGTAACAAAGTACGTGCGAATTCACGGTGAAAAGCCCAAAACTTCCAAAGAAGATCCCATAGTCAAAGACCGAAGAGAAAGAGACAAAGCAGCAGAAACCACGGACTCGTCAGCCCCACAAGGTCGCAACAAACCCATCCGGCACCAAGCGCACGACCAT